TTCCAAATTTGAAAATATTGAAACTTTGAAATTTCCGAATACATAAGTATCTGAACTTTCAAATGTTTAAATACAGGAATATTCAAACTTTCAATCAAGTCAAATATCGAAACATTGAAATTTCCACGTTCGAACATTCAAATTTCCAAATCTATGAATGTCCGAACTTCGAAATCTTCAAATACCCAAATGTTCTCGAATGTTTCCAAACATTCGGACCTTAATATTTCCAAATCCTCGAGTTTCGAAGCTCGCTAAATTTTTCGAGATTAAAACACACAGATGGAACTTACCACTCGGCGGCCTGATATGAACACCCAAGTTGAGGGCCTGGAGTTTCGCGACAGCCACCTTGCACAGAACTTTCCTCTCGATTTCCGACAGTGACCTCAACGAAGTGTCTTGCAGGGTGACACGTCTTCCACTGGTGCCCGCCCACGTGCACTTTCCCTGTGATTAATGTTAGACACCCTAAGTGACTGTTTTCCCACGCGACCACGTAGATTTGCGTTACATTGACAAAATTTCAGCATATCGATCGTCGCGAAATCCGTATGACGAGTCGCAGCTGTTGTTAAATTATTTTCCACAATCGTCTCGTACGCAAACCACTTCAAGTTTCCTAACTTCTTCATTGTACATCTGATAGCAATGATAGTAGATTTTTTTTTTTTCTTTTTTTGAATTTTCTGAAAGTGAAATAAATCGAAATGGCAACTGAAAGAATGAAGGTTTCTACCTTCGAAACTGAAATATCAGATTAAATAACAGATATATCAAATATTGTCAATTATACGCCGAATGATAAAAAAGTTTCTCCGCGTAATGAGAAAAAAGTTCGCGAAAGTAATAAAAACATAATACGAATTATTTCGCTCCAGTTTACATGTACGTAAAATGAAATTAAATGTATGTTCGATCATTACGAAAGACTGAAATTAAATAAAACTCACGTTTTATAAAATGAAAATCTTTTTGAATAAATAATTTCGGAATTTATGCTTTTTATTAGACACGTGCCTTTTTTTTTTTTTTTTTTTTTTTTTTTTT